ACAAGATTGTCCTTGTTTTATCATTTATTCTAGTGCTCTTATTAATTATTTATTTACATTCACAATTTCCGATGCTTTCTTCCCCTTTCCTTCATTTATGCCTTTCTTCTGCTATCTCCACAATTTTTCCGCGGATTCAATTTATCTGTTTCTTTTTTTCTCTCAATCCATGTTTCCCTTCTCTCCTATTTGCCTTTAAATTTAAATTTCGTTTCTTCATCTCCCCACGTCTTTCCCCGTTTTCCCTAAAATATTCCATTTTTCGATAAGAATACTCAATAAATTGTTGCTTATAGAAAAAACTATCGAAATCGATCGTGAGACGATCTATAAACGTTATAATAATATCCCAGAAATTTCCCTATTTTTTTTTTATTCAATAAATCTCGTCAAACATAATTTGACACGAATTATCTTGATAATATACTAGATAAAATACTCCTCTCTGCAATGTGCGTTGATACTCTGTTGCATCCGTAACAAAGTTGGTGTGGTAAACGAGGATCCTGTTTACACGGAGTTACGGTCGAAAACCGGCCAAGATCTGCCTTGCTCGCAATCTTCATTTTATCTCCCTCAAACCTCTTCACTCCATCCCTAATTTTCTTTTACTCTTTCTCCCCAGAGACAGTAAACGCGCCTTCTCGTGCAGGTAATGGCAATAATTACATCTCCACATTCATCCCCCTCTCCCCCTCCCTGTTTACCCCTCCCACCCCGCCCCCTTCTGTTGCTCTTTGGGTTTGTAGTCGGCATTAAAATCAAATCACTTGGCCTAGGACTCCATCTTCTTCGAGTCGGTGCATAATGCAGAGGTTGAGGTTCGGATACATTTAGGCTTGCATTCCCGAGTAATGAAGACGTTGTGGAAATCTGCGTTTTTTTTTCCCCATCGGTTTAATTGCCGTTTTGCTGAAGTGGGGGATTTATGAATTCTCAAATGAGTGGTTGATGATGTTTGGGTGAAATTTTACTGGAAAATTCTTGGAGAAAAATCAACATTTGCCGGGGATAAACTCGATCTCATATTTATTTACTGAATAAATGATTTTTCACACCTTGCGGGATCATAAATCACCGCATTTTCTGATTTTTGGAATCTTTTTATCAGGCAAACAGTAGTCTGACCAGCGTTGACCCCTTGGCAGGGCCATAAATATTCCCATTAATATTAACTTAGAGAGAGGCTGGAGGAAAATAACCACTGGCTAGTGGCAAAAGTCGAGATAAAAAAAGGCGAAGAAAAAAAAAATGTGGAGAGAAGAATCGAAAGCGTTTGGAGGGGTGGGGTGGGAAAAAAGAATCTTGTATGCTGGGGACGAATCTCATATAGGACACAGCTGGGAATTGACCCAGGACTGGCAGAAAAATTCATGGGGGAATTCTCGGTGGTTAAATCGATTCCTCTACTCATTTCATATTTCGACCACAGGATTTCCGGAGATATGAGTGGCTTGGGGAATAGCTCAAAGTGAATATATCGTGAGAGGATATTAATTGATGGATTGATCCATTCATTCATCAATTCTTTTTAACTCGAGGAATTCCTCAGCTCAATGAGTTTTCATCAGGTGTGGCTTGAAATGAATCGATTAGTCAGATTGATCCATCACATATTGACGATTAGATAATTTTTTTATCCAATCAATCAGTCTCTTTGTTTGGTAATAACAGGTGTCAAGCATTCGCCTATCGGTTTTCTCCTCCGTGTCTCGTGTCAACATCGATTTCTTACGCTGTAAACGCACGAGCGCGCATGTTACACCAGGAAAGTCATTACGCAATTGCAATTTGTCATTGCGAACACCTGTAACTACACGTTTTCCACTCGTTTGTGAGTGAATAGTGTCACAATGCTGTATGACCTTGGTCATTAAATCAGTCGAGGTGAAAAATTATTGCGCTAGATTGGTTGAATGATTGGTGTGCCGTTGAATTGAGAATCTTTTGCCAGAAGTCTAACGTCATCTGGGAAGATGGAGGAGTCAAGGGAGACAGCCTAATCTGACGGTTCATGTCTACCATCAACAAACAGAAGCTTAGTTGTGCTCAGCGGTCAGCTACTCTTCTCTAAGTGGAGTCATTATAGTTACCCCAGGATGTTAGCCATCTTTCATTGAATTCAGCGCAAAACTCAATTCAATTATTTAAATACCACCGATTATTTGTTCCATCCAAATTTCAGTCATAGAATTGCATCAGTCGATGAGTCTATTCGGGATTATCCTCATAATTTATCAATTATTTCGTCTCTTATCTTTACATATGAAAGAAAAACTCTTGGATCGAGTTAACCACTGATTCAAATCGAAAGATTGAATTATTTTGCGCTTTTCAAATAGCTTTTCTCATTTTTTTGTATCTGGACTTCGTCTCATGGCGTAATTCTATCGGTTGAAATGTAAATAAAAAAAAATCCCCTGAATACGATTCGAGCTTCGAAATAAATAGGATATTTGTCCATACGGATATTGTTGCCTGCAGTTTACTTGG